TTAGTATGTATGTGATTCTAGATACAAGATCCAGTGGATTGATTGTCTCTACTTCTGGTATTCTTGTTATCCAAACTATGGTGTGAAGGCTGCTGCTTTCCATGCAGTCCCTATCTAGCTCATGGTCCTGTCAAAAGAGGAAATGACCAGTCATTTGTCCTCCATGCCCCTTTGCTGCATCAGGACTTTTGCCTCATCAGCCTTAAGAATGCAGAGATTCTGGTTTCAGTGTGGATCTGAGGCTGATAGTAATCCTGGAGGCTTTGAATGGAATACTTCGTAAAATTCAGAGGAACCTAAGAGGGGCTGTGAAGCAAGACTTCATTTGGTCCTGCTAGGCTGAGGGTAACAGACGTGTGTGGGGGTATGTTGAGTGTTCCATAGTCTGGGAGGTGCCCATCCCCTTCTCTGCTATTACCTTTGCAGCTTAGTCCCTAGTGTTAGGGAGAGTTCATCTTAATACTTACATAATGCTGTCTTTCTGAGTGGAGCTATACCCACATGAAACTTTTCATTTGAATGATACTGCACGTAGACTGACTAAACAATGTGCGGTATTCATTGATACTTGGACTTTTTTTTTTTTTTTTTATTTTATTTTTTGACAGGCAGAGTGGACAGTGAGAGAGAGAGACAGAGAGGAAGGTCTTCCTTTGCCGTTGGTTCACCCTCCAATGGCCGCCTCGGCTGGCGCGCTGCGGCCGGCGCACCGCGCTGATCCAAAGGCAGGAGCCAGGTGCTTCTCCTGGTCTCCCATGGGGTGCAGGGCCCAAGCACTTGGGCCATCCTCCACTGCACTCCCAGGCCACAGCAGAGAGCTGGCCTGGAAGAGGGGCAACCGGGACAGAATCCGGCATCCCGACCGGGACTAGAACCCGGGGTTCCGGCGCCGCAAGGCGGAGGATTAGCCTAGTGAGCCGCGGCGCCGGCCGATACTTGGACTTTTTTTAGTAAGATTCCCCTTCTGTGGTAAAGGTAACAAACACAAGTACATTAAGCCCCATGCAGATAAACTATATTGATGGCTGTGTCACAAGTCTGTATGAGTCTTTCAAAATTATTTATTTTTAAGATTTATTTATTTACTTGAAAGAATTAGGGAGGGACAGAGAGAGAACTTCCATCCACTGGTTCACTCCGCAGATGGTCACAACAGCTGGAGCTGGGCCAGGCTGAAGCAGTGAGACAGGAGTTTTTTCCAGGTCTCAGGTGGGTGGCAGGGGCCCCAAGCACTTGGGCCATCTTCCGTGGCTTTTCTCCTACTATTATTAGCAAGGAGCTGAGTCAGAAGGGGGGTAGCCAGGACTCAAACTGGTGTCCATAAGTGATGCCAGCATCACAGATGGCGACTTGACCTGTCATGCCACAATGCCAGCCCCTCAAAATTATTTTTAAAAATTTGTTTGTTCAATTTATTTGAAATGGGACCAACATTCTGGCACATGGTGTGAAGCTACTGCTTACAGTGCTGGCACCTATATTTGAGTGCTGGTTTGAGTCCCTGCTGCTCTGCTTCTGCCCACCTTCCTGTTAATAATGCACCTAAAAAGGCAGTGCAAGATGACCCAAGTACTTAGGCCTCTGACACTCAGGTGGAAGATCAGGAAGTTCCTGGCTCCTGATTTCAGCCTGATCCAGACTTGGCTGTAGCAGCCATTTAGGGAGTGAACCAGTGAATGGAAATATGTGTCTCCATGTTTCAAATCAATGAAACAATGAATCTTGAAAAGATTCTTACTTGAAAGGTAGAGATAGAGATAGTTCTTTTATCTGCTGGACAGGACCAGGCCAGAGTCAAGAGCTGGGAGCTCCATCTGCGTCTTTCATGTGGATGTCAGGGACCTAAGTACTTGAGCCATCACCTGCTGCTTTTCATCATGCATATTATCAAACTGGATTAATAAGCAGAGTCAGAAATGGAACCGAGGCACTCGAAGCAGCATTTTAACCTCTATGCCAAACACCTGTCCCTGTGAGTCTCTTTTGACCTTACTTTGCCTAATTAAAAGAGAAAAACTACTGGTTTGTTTTCTGCTCTTTGTGGATTTTTAAAATAAAAGTAGTATGGGTACATGCTTCTCTGCTAGTTTTGCTATCCTCCTCATAACCTACTGTGTTTTGTATATCCTTCTCAAGAGACTGCCTTTAGAAGATAGCTTTATCTAGATCTCCCTATTCCATTTATTTATGCAAATACAAATTCCTATCCTGTAACTTTGAGTTGTGTATGTTTTATTTAGCTATACCGTGGAGATTGAGTTTGTACCACAACAGTTCATTAAGGTTTATCATTTTTCCTGAGACTGTTCATAATTGAGTATGATTGATTGTTCACTTAGAGTTATATTTTGCTTTTGGAGTTGAATTAGTATGGTGTTTAAGTATGTGCTTACAGAATGTGTAACATAAAGCAAATCATGAGGAAAAGAGACAACAATTTCAGGGTTAAGAGCCTCATGAAACTTTAAATCTATAGTAGTTAAAAACGTTTATATTTCAGTATAGACAAGCCACCATACCCACGCTTTATTCCTGCAAAAACAGTACATGAATATTTAGATATTCAATAGCTGATTAACATTTGAGAGTGCAAAATTTGGGCAAACTTAAAGTGTTTAAATTTAGAATCCATGGTGACTGGTAGGTGGTAGTAAGCAGGATGAAATTAAAGATCCTTTAAAAGGAAATATTAACTGGTGGATAGTAAGCTAGATGAACCTAAAATATCTTTGAAAGCAAAATTTGAGACACTTTTCATGTCCAAATCATCCTACAGAAATATTTTTACTACCTTTTTAAAAGTATTTGTCCTTGATGTCGTACACAAATCATAAAGCTTATTTAATAAGTTAAGAAAATTCCTGTTTGCTTTCTTAGGTGTGAGTGAATAAGTTTATATTAGTATTTGGGTCAATATTTTTTAAAGAATATGTGCTGCATTTGTGATTGAAGTGTTATGACCTCTGCAAGTTTCAGATGATTCAGAAGATGGTTACATATAGCAGATAGTACAGAGAATTCATTGAATTTAGATTTAAATGCACTCTTTAGAAATTTTTCTGATAAAAAATTAGGGGGAAGCGCTGGCGCCGCGGCTCACTAGGCTAATCCTCCGCCTTGTGGCGCCAGCGCACCGGGTTCTAGTCCCGGTCGGGGCACCGGATTCTGTCCCGGTTGCCCCTCTTCCAGGCCGGCTCTCTGCTATGGCCTGGGAGTGCAGTGGAGGATGGCCCCGGTGCTTCAGCCCAGCACCTCCAAGGGAACCCACCAGAAGCCCCCGGCTCCCGCCTTCCGATCAGCCCGGTGCACCGGCCCCGCCGCCCATTGGAGGGTGAACCAACGGCAAATGGAAGACTTTTCTCTCTGTCTGTCTCTCACTGTCCACTCTGTCAAAAAAAAAAAAAAAAAAAAATTAGGGGGAATGAAGCATACCCCTTAAAAGTTAATGTAATTTTCATAATTTAACTACTAGTATCTCTTAAATTGCAGTCAGTCTACAGTTTATTTTTTGAAAAAAAAAAAAAAATTTTTTTTTGACAGGCAGAGTGGACAGTGAGAGACAGAGAGAAAGGTCTTCCTTTGCCGTTGGTTCGCCCTCCAATGGCCGCCGCAGCTGGTGCACTGGGGCCGGCGCACCGCGCTGATCCGAAGGCAGGAGCCAGGTACTTCTCCTGGTCTCCCATGGGGTGCAGGGCCCAAGCACTTGGGCCATCCTCCACTGCACTCCCGGGCCACAGCAGAGAGCTGGCCTGGAAGAGGGGCAACCGGGACAGAATCCGGTGCCCCGACTGGGACTAGAACCCGGTGCGCTGGCGCCGCAAGGCGGAGGATTAGCCTAGTGAGCTGCGGCGCTGGGCTAGTTTTTGAATTTAATCTGAACATTTTTACTTTCTTACTGAAGCTGCTATCATGTACTGTGTTTTGAAGATATTGAAAAAAGTGAACTGCTTTTAAAATGAATGCAAAAGTGTGGTACATTTTATTAAGTTGTGGAATCTTAAAGATTCTGACTATAATATGTAATTTTTAAAATGAGTTTAAAAATTATCATGTATTACTTTGTTTAGTAAATAAAAAGGGGACCGGTGCCATGGCATAGTGGGTAAAGCCACTGCCTGTGCTGCTGGCAACCCATATGGGTACCAGTTCACGTCCCTACTGTTCCACTTCTAGTCCAGCTCCCCGTGTCTGGGAAAGCAGTGGAAGATGGCCAAGGGTTTGGGCCCCTGCACCCATGTGGGAGACCTGGAAGAAAGAAGCTCCTAGCTCCTGGCTTTAAATCAGCCCACCTCTGGCCATCACGGCCATTTGGGGAGTAAAATGGTAGATGGAAGATTTCTCTGTCTGTCTCTCTGCCTCTCTGCCTTTCCTTCTTTGTAACTCTGACTTTCAAATAAAAAGTAAAAGATTAGCTGGCATTTTTAGTCTTTATTGGTGAATAGAGATTAATGAAAAAAAAATTGAGGATCAGAAAAGACTATTTGGGTTTTGGTAAAATCAGAAAATTAAGTGAACCAAATTTGCTTTTTTTTTAAACAAAATTTCATGATTCTTTTGAGATGGGTTGAGGTAGGATATGGCACAATTTTCTCAGTTCAATGAATAGAAGTTAAGATTTCAGGTCAACAAGTGGTTTACAGATTCTGAATTGTTTACTGCTGAAAATAATTATTTGATGCTACTCAGAACTATCATAGGGATGAGGTATGATAAGCTTTGTGTGTGTGTGCGCGTTGTTCGCTTTTTTAGGGTATGATATTGGGGAGTTCTTGCGCTTAAAAGTTGCTTAAATTATTACATGTCTGTTTTGAGGAACTGTTGTGTTTCTGACTTGATCTGTACTTTACTGCCAACTGTTGTTTTCTAGTGGAGATTATGGTTGGTAAGCTCTGTTTATATGGAGTAGAATGTCAAGTGGTAATCTTAATTAAATATTTATAAGATCATATTCATATTAGTGAATTTCTAGGAATAACACAGCCTTTTTTCTTCTTTTGTAGCATAAGCAGTACTATAATGGATGTAGACAGCACAATTTCCAGTGGGCGTTCAACTCCAGCAATGATGAATGGACAAGGAAGCACTACTTCTTCAAGCAAAAATATTGCCTATAATTGTTGTTGGGACCAGTGCCAGGCTTGCTTCAACTCTAGCCCAGATCTGGCAGATCACATCCGTTCCATACATGTAGATGGTCAGCGAGGAGGGGTTGGTTTTGTCATTTCTTTTATTCACCACCTGTTGTCATTAGTTTTATTAACTCATAGTTGCTAGTTAGGCTTTTTTCATGAAAGTAATTTGGGATTATTTTTATGTAGACTATATATTCAAATAACCGTTTTCTTTTAATTACATCTTACAAACCTGATAGAATCAAATGAAAGTAGGATGTATTACGTGTTGGACTTCAGTTTGTCCTTAGGTGATAATGGGGCTGGTGTTGTGGCTAACAGGTGAAGCCTACCACCTGCAGTGCCAGCATCCCATATGAGCACTGGTTTGGATCCTGGCTAATCCACTTCTATCCAGCTCCCTGCTGGGAAAGCAGCCGAGTATGGCCTTAGCCTTTCTTTGCCCCAACATGGAGACCTGGAAGAAGTTTTTAGCTCTTGGCTTTGGACCAATTAAGCTGTGGCTATTTGGGGAGTGAACCAGTGGATGAAAGACCCCTCTGTCCCCTTCTCTCATAATTCTGCCTTTCAAATAAAATAAACAAATATTTAAAAAAAGAAAAAGGAAATTAGATTTTCTAAAATTAGTAGAAATATTATAAATGAACATGATTTATTTCACAGTTCTAATGTTTTGAATTGAGAGCATTTAGGAATTAACTATGTCCTGGATGTCCCTTGTCAGAGAGTCCTAGATGATCTGATGCTGAAGTTACCTGAAGAAACTGATAGTAACAGAATTGGAATGTGCCATACTCTTAAATGACAACCTGAACTCATTATCTGGGAGTGAGAATTAATCATCTTTCCCAGTCTTGCCAGAGCTCGCCCAGAAAGCTCTGATTTAATCAGTACCAGTCCATGCCCTTTCATGAATACATTTAATTATGTTCACTCACTCAAGTAACTTTTGTTGGATAGTGTATAAAGAGCTTAGGAAATTAAGTGAGTCAGTATGTAATGGGCCAAAGTACTAATTTATACTTTTTTTTGGCTTCACCTAGGTTTGTCTTGTAGTATGTTTTCCAGAAATTTATATTCTGTTGTAATTACAGATAAATTATTAGGTCATGCCTCAACTTACTGTCATTATACACAGACACTAAAATGGTTAAAATCATCATGGTTTAAGTAACTGTTTCAAAGATTATATTGATATTTAGGTCATATGATCTTTTTTAAAAAAGCATGCAGCCATGTAAACATCTTTTTTTAAAAAAAGGTTTTTTTTTTTTTTTTTTTTTTAAATCTGAAAGGCAGAGTTACAGAAAGAGAGACAGAGACAGAGAATGATCTTCCATCCTCTGGTCTGCTCCTCACTCAAATGGCTGCAACAGCAGGATCTGGGCTGGTCCAAAACCACGAGCTTCATCCGTGTTTCCCACGTTGGTGCAGGGGCCCAAGTACTTGGACCATGCTCCACTGTTTTCCCACAGAGAGCTGGATCTGAAGTGGAGCAGCTGGGACTGAACCAGCATCCATATGGAATGTCAGCACTGCAGGTGCTGGCTTAACCCTCTGCGCCAAGATGCTGGCCCCAGCCCTAATATTTTAATCAGTTGTAATGTTTTTAAATTTTCAGAAATACTTGTCCATTTTATCTTATAGCATGTCAGAAATCTTACTCAAACTTGGTGGAGGAGATAGATGTCTTATTAAATTTAATATGAATGATGTCTGAGTAACTCAGTAAAAATGTGATACTTCCCCAATGTCTGTTAATGAACTTTGTCTTTCATACTGCATTTTCACTGTAAAACCCAGATCAGTACTTAAAGAGTGTTTAGTTTGACTCTCAGTCCCCATATGTCAGATATTTAGTACGAATTGTTTTACTGACTTGATTGCCTGGTTGTTAGAGATCTGCCTTTTGTGAACCAGTGCTTGGTATCACTTGGTATATACCACTTTTGAGCCAATACATATGCTTTGTTTTTGTCACTTAGTAGCCATATATAGATTCATGGATTATATAGGTCCCTGGAAATCTCTTAGTAGGTATAGCAGAATCTTACGTTCAGTAACTCAGAAGTCTTGGCTCCAACAGATTGAGTTGGCACATAGCCTTATGAGAATGTTCTCAGCCCTTTACAGATTTGTAGAAAAGATGCAGTTATAGGCTGAATTTTCTAAATTACGTGTCATATAATATTTGCCACTACATATACCTTATTTATATTACAGAAGTAGGCATGAAATTGTAGTATTTCTACCTAGATATAATCTTGCTAAACTGAAAATCATTATCATTTGTTTAACCCTTACTCAGAGTAATTACTTTATTACAAGTTATGAGATTTCTTGGCTAATTTTAAGAAAAACACTATTTGACCAAAGAAAAGAGTACAGATTTTTAAAGGATATTAATTGCTAAACTATAGTTGTAAAGGATCAAAGAAATGCATAAAATTCACTCCAGTCTTTTCTGTGATAAAATGTGACTGAGAATTTGAAAACTTACTCTGTCTTCACATCAGCCCCTGATATCCAGTGTTTTCCTTTCTGTTTCTGTGTCTGACCCTATTTCTGTAGGCTACATGTAAGTGAAGAATACTGATTTTGATGGTTGATCATTTTATTTTTGTAATTTATTTTTTTATTTTTATTTTTTAAGATTTATTTTACGTATTTGAAATACAGAGTTACAGAGAAGTAGAGAGAAAGAGGTCTTCCATCTGCTGGTTCAATCTCCAGATGGCCACAACGGCCAGAGCTGTGCTGATCCGAAGCCAGGAGCCAGGAGCTTCTTCCAAGTCTCCCACGTGGGTGCAGGGACCCAAGGACTTGGGCCATCTTCTACTGTTATCCCAGGCCATAGCAGAGAGCTGGATTGGAAGAGGAGCAGGGCCGGTGCCGCGGCTCACTAGGCTAATCCTCCGCCTTGCGGTGCTGGCACACCAGGTTCTAGTCCTGGTCGGGGTGCTGGATTCTGTCCCGGTGTCCCCTCTTCCAGGCCAGTTCTCTGCTATGGCCCAGGAGCGCAGTGGAGGATGGCCCAAGTGCTTGGGCCCTGCACCCCATGGGAGACCAGGATAAGTATCTGGCTGCTGCCATCGGATCAGCGCAGTGTGCTGGCCGCGGCGGCCATTGGAGGGTGAACTGGCAAAGGAAGACCTTTGTCTCTCTGTCTCTCTCTCTCACTGTCCACTCTGCCTGTCCAAAAAAAGAAGAGGAGCAGCCGAACTAAAACCGGTGCTCATGGGATGCCAGCGCTTCAAGCCAGGGTATTAACCCAGTGTGCCATAGTGCCAGCACCTGTAATTTCTTTTTTTAAACTGTCATTATGGAACAGAAACTGATGAAAATTTTTATTTTTTTTAAATATTTACTTCTTTTTAAAGGTTTGTTTATTTGAAAGTCAGAGTTACACAGAGAGGAGAGAGAGAGAGAGATGTGTTCCATCTGATGGTTTACTCTCCAGTTGACTGTCACGGCTGGAGCTGTGCTGATCTGGAGACAGGAGCTTCTGCGTCTCCCCTGTGGTGCAGGGGCCCAAGGACTTGGGCCATCCTTTACTTCTTTCCCAGGCCATAGCAGAGAGCTGGGTCAGGAAGTGGAGCAGCTTGGACTTGAACTTGCGCCCACATGGGATGCCGGCACTACAGGCCATGGCTTTACCCGCCACGCCACAGCACTGGCCCTGAAAAAATTCTAAACCTAAATTTTGTGCTTCTAATTACTGATTGATGACAATGTTACTGGATCAATAAGTTAGCAAGGTCTAAATACTGTATTAATTCCTGTTCTTTTTCTCATTCGACACTAATCTTCACCCTGGGAAAAACAAGAAAAATCATCATACAATTGCTTAGGAATGTTGCTTCCTTCTTTAAGCAGCATGTTGTAGTCTGTATGTAGACTTTGGAAACTAAAGTCAAATTTACCTTTTCCTAATTTTCCATGTTAAAGTAGATACTTGTTTCTGCCTTAAAATGAAGGTATTTAAACACCAAATTATGGGTATGATTTTGTAAAAAGATTACGAGAATGTTTTTTACAACTTAAGAAAAGTATGCAAAATAAAAATTTATTATCCTTTTGTATTCAGTTTAATAGAATTGTACTGTTGGTCCATGCTTCTGTATGTTATTAGATTCCCACAACTTGTTTGGGAGCTATTTCAGTAATCAGATTTCAGATACTGGTGTCTGCTTATTATATACCTAAGATTGGGTGGGTGAGGAACTTCATGTTGTAGTAACTTTGCAGTTCAATGTAAGATTCATTAGTGTTTTGGAGTTTTTTTTTTTTTTTTTTTTTTTTTTTTATAAAGAGATTTGAGAGACCGAGAAAGGGAGTTCCCACCCACTGGCTGTTGCTCCCCTAATGCCTGCAGTGACTTGGCCTGAGCTGAGCCAAAAGTAGAATCTAGGACCTCATTTTTCCCACATGCATGGCAAGAATCCAGTTACTGTAGAGCCATCACCACTGCCTCTCAGGATCTGCTTTAATAGGAAGTTAGAGGCAGGAGCTGGGTTTTTAGCCCATAAACTCTTGTGTAGGGTATTGGCATCTTAACGGTGAGAGTGAATACGTGCCCCTATCTTTGTTCTTTCGTGAATTAAAACAAAAATTGGTATAGAAAGAAATCAGGTTTCTTAACACAGGATTTATTTGTCTCATTTTATATATTCTTCAGTGTGGTTTTTTTTGTTGTTGTTGGAGGGTGGAAGGAGGAATCTTTTAGGCCTAGGGTGGGATAATAAAAGTATTATTTGAAGTCTTAAATGTGGCCAGTCACTGTTAAATATTTTATAAAATGACATATGTGTACTAAATTTTTAAATTAAGTGGGAATGCTGCTTAGTATGTGAAGGCAACCTTAAGAGGTCATTTGGGGTTTTGATTGGCAGTCTGATAAGTCCTAAGCACAGCATGAACTTGGTCATATCTTTTTGAGAAACACTTTATTCTTACAGTTGAACATTTTAAATATTTTTTTCTTCATTAAATATCATTTAATAGAGGAAATTGAAAGCGTCAGTGTAGTTAATATGGCTAAGACTGATACAATTGATAAAAGATTTGTTATTTTTA